GGGGGGGGGGGGGGGCCCCCCCCCCCCCCCCCCCCGTAGCTACGCCCCTGCTCGCCTTAGGGCATCCAGTCAGCAGCAGCCAGCAGCGAGCCAGCTGTTATACACATGTACGCTCGCGGAGGTATGCACTCTCTTTGAGTGCCCTCTGTCTAGTTTATCATGCAATACTGATCGAGGTACGTAATAAAGATATTTCTTTTTTTGTTGTTCCAGGGAGCAAGTGGAACTGAGGTTGAGGAGATTACCAGTAGGCAGGAATCCATCCTAAATCAACTAACAGCACTTCGCAGTCGGGTGGATGAACTGAAGATGACAATAAATACAGAACCTGCAGTGAATGTGGATATGGTGCCAGCAGTGAAACAGGCCTCATGCGAGTCAGGACAGTTTCAACATGTATAACATGATATTATTTAAATAATATTATTAGCTATTCCACGTTTTTCGTGACAGCTGTAACATGTCATAGTAGGTTAATGTGGCGTACTGTATTTAATTTATATAATTATGGTTTAATTGGGGTAGGATTTCACATAAAGTTTTGTTTATAGTAAGTTAGAAGTAGGGTTAATGTTGTGTGCTAGGTGGTGTAAAACTTTTGGTAAACCTAGGTGGTGATATTTAGCCATATTGCACCTGAGTCAACACTGTAGAGAATAGGCATGCACACACAAGACATAGCACAACATTAACATTAGCACAACATATAAGTACTAGGTGCAGTTCTTCCCAGGAATTTAGTTCAGAAGGCATGTTGGTAATCAGGCAGGTTATCTCTGATTGCCAATGGGAGTTAGTTACACACGTGTGACACAAGCAGCCTAATACACAGATAAAATTGATCGGTTCAGAAGCGCATAGATCGAGATGTAAAAACATACCATGTCTGTATTCGCATTGTCAAAAGTTAACACTGCTGGAAATTAAGCCATGTCAATTAGGAAATAAAGGTCATGTCAGAGAATGTAATAAGTTAGCTTTAGCTTTGAATATATGTCGGACCCGACATGCATTAAAGGCCGGGTGAGGGGGAGAACCTTTCTAGGTTAAAGATGCTAGTACGTCAAAGATAAATTTTGCATCTTCTGCAGCATTCGACTTTGTTGCATTGATTACTACCAATATATATGTGTGTACTGCCAACATCCTGATGCATGACACTTACGTGAAGTCGTCTACATTGTGCGATCGTTTTGTTCACAAATTTGTTCGCAAACGCGCGTGCGTGACACTTTTCTGTTGCTTTCCCCCAGGATCCAATCGATTCAGTGATCACCATGAACCCAGCCAGGCCAGCCCTCTCCGCCCTTGTTATCTGTCAGCTGCTGCGGAGTCAGGAGCCTGTCAACATATCCACGCATACTCATTCGAACGTGACAATGAAAGCCCCGGATTTGACGGCCACGTTCGGCGGAAACGGACTGAATCTCGCCGCACCGGTGGAGTGCGGAGTCAGAATCACGCTCGTGTGGAAAAACGGTAATTCTTAGCTGCCGTCACCGGCTCGTAGATCGAAACTTGACACGTAGTCGTCTAGGTCAGGGCTCGAATTAAGCGACGAGAAGGGTAAGGCAATTTTTTTAGGGCATGTGAGAAATCGCCTTGAATTTTCTCTAAAATAGAGGGGCACAGAGGCAATTTTAAAAGGCACCAAGGCAACTCTCAAAATTTGAGAAGGGCACCAAGGCACTTTTGTAAAATAAAGGAAAACTCATAACAAATTAGTACATCAACATCGTCTTGCTTTTAATGTACAAAACAATATGCCCCCATGTAAGCTTACACCGTAACACTGACCCCTGTACCCCCCTCTGCTAATGGAAGTACAGTAACAAGAAATTGTACATGCCCGCTATCAGGAGCGACTAATTATGTTATTATTCCCTCCTGCGACTATCGGTTTTAAACTCATCATTGCAACTACAGCACGCACGCGCACGTGTTATGTTGACTCGACTAAAAACGAAACTAGGGCAGTATATTAAAAGGCACCGACGGCAATTACACAAAAGGGTAAGGCAGGTGACTGCCGTCGGTCGGGTTGGATTTTCAGGGGCAGTACGGCGATTGATAGGGGCACCGACGGCAATTGCCATCGGTGCCGTCGGTTAATTCGAGCCCTGGTCTCGGTATTTGAATCTGGAATTAATCTCTGCTGGTGCATTCAACTTCCAGGTGTTCGTAGCGATTGCTGTGTGCACTATCAGTATTTTCTGTTACGTATTCCGTGTGTTTGCGTAGGCCTGTTCCTGATATCAATGACCTCTCCTATGAGTTTAGCCACTCAGCTAGACACCGTCACTATGTAGTTGGCTTTCATCCGTCATTCCGTATCATTGGCTACAATTCGAGCATAAAGGTAGTACCAGGTTGATTAATGACAGGTCAATGACAGGTAGATTAATATGTTTGCGCATTCTGCGTGTGTTTCAGTGGAGCGGGCCACGCTGATGGCGAGTCCGCAGGCGCGACGCACCGTGCACGGTGAGTCAAACATCTGCCGCTACCTTGCACGACACCTCCCAATGAACCACGATCGCCACGACGCCGTCACGGCAACCGAGGTTGACCAGTGGATCGACACTGCCGCCGCGCTCACCGCGGGATCGAAGAAGGAAATCGCTGCCGTCGTTCGCTCGCTGAACGCCCGGCTGGGTGCGAATGCGTGGTTGGCCGGCGGAGATATGTCGGTAGCCGACGTTGTCATGTGGGGTAGCTTGTATCGAGCGGGTCAAGTCGCTGATGCTCCAAATAATGTCAAGAAGTGGATAAAATCTTGTGAGGTGAATCCAGCTTTTGCTAGTGTGAAATGTTTAGCGTGAGGTTGGCGTAATAAATTTGCGTTCAGTCGAGTGACAAAATCGTTTCGATGCTATTTATTTGATCGCAATGTTTGTTTCTATTCTGGAGTATTTGCTCAGAGAGCTTCACACACCTCTCTGTGTTATTGTTATAGAAATAAAACATCTACATGAGAAAAACTATGGCACATTTTATATTTTCATCTTCGGCGAAAAGTTGAGAAGGTTTGTGAAGGTTGAGTTAGACCTTTATGAATGATTGCATTGAAATGATCTTTTTATTATAACCAGAACGTATCAAATTTCGTTTTTATAGTATATTCATATGATGAGGTCTACCCATATAAATCTTGTGTGTTACATCATACAATTGGCCACAGATCAGTAAATAATCTTTTCACTTGTGCAAAATACATTTTGTCGCCATTCACTGCAGTTTTATCTTTTTATTTGTCTTTTTTTTATTTGGATTGTTAGTAGAATGCTGTACGACAATATTGTAAAACATGAAAAGGAATTCATTAGAATACTATTAATAGAGCAAATGACAAGAAAACGTTATATTGGAAACGGAAATATAGGAAAAACAATCATCCGGAATATCATGGCACTATCAGGAGCTAATAATGACAAATTATTATTCAATTTGTCATTATTAGCTCCTGGTACTATGCTAGCAGGACGTTTGTTACAACATTGGGAAAGTAGGGATAGCCAAATACTTCTATTATAAATATTCTACAGTATATTATACGCCGCATGCACATGCACGCACCCACCCACGAACGTAAATTCACCTCTTTCTGGTAGTTCCGTTAGGTTGCCTGGCCGCCGCTCCTCCTGTTTCTTTGGTATATCACGAGACTGGTGTATTTATAGCGCTGACTCCATCATGCCCGCTTCTGTGCAGCATCCAGTATCTTTTAACGGAAATATATCAACGTGAGTGACTGTACAGATTGTCGATGGCTAACTCGATGAAGGTAGGGAAGACGGTGGGGGCATGAGTGATGGTAAAGAGCAGAGGAGGGGAGAACGACGACGGGAGGAGGAGGGAAGAACGGAGGCAGGAAGAGGAGGGGAGAACAGACGGGATGAAGAGGGGAGAACAGGCGGAAGGAGGAGGAGAGAACAGGCGGAAGGAGGAGGGGAGAACAGGCGGAAGGAGGAGGGGAGAACAGGCGGAAGGAGGAGGGAAGAACAGGTGGAAGGAGGAGGGGAGAACAGGCGGAAGGAGGAGGGCCCCTCCTCCTTCCGCCTGTTCTCCCCTCCTCCTTCGCCTGTTCTCCCCTCCTCCTTCCGCCTGTTCTCCCCTCCTTCCTCCTTCCGCCTGTTCTCCCCTCCTCCTTCTGCCACTGTTCTCCCCTCCTCCTTCCGCCTGTTCTTCCCTCCGCCTGTTCTCCCCGTTCTCCCCTCCTCCTTCCGCCTGTTCTCCCCTCCAGGCGGAAGGAGGAGGGGAGAACAGTGGCAGAAGGAGGAGGGAAGAACAGGTGGAAGGAGGAAGGGAAAACAGGCGAAGGAGGAGGGGGAACAGGCAGAAGGAGGAGGGGAGAACAGGCGGAAGGAGGAGGGGAGAACAGGCAGAAGGAGGAGGGGAGAACAGGCGGAAGGAGGAGGGGAGAACAGGCGGAAGGATGAGGGGAGAACAGGCGGAAGGAGGAGGAGAGAACAGGCGGAAGGAGGAGGGGAGAACAGGCAGGAGGAGGGGGGAACAGGCGGCAGGAGGAGAGGGGA